ATCTCCCTCCATAAATGTTGTGAAGGCAAAGTCAGCATCCAGGCGATCCAACACCTGAGTTCGCAGTCGGCGCACAGTTTTATTTGGAATGCTTGTGATGGTGTCCATCTATATGTAAAGGATATTTTAACCTCCGTTTGCGGTTCGACAACTAGCAGCAGTAAGGACTTATCGCGCGGCTTATTCCCGCTGCCGGCGCCTTCCTTAAACCGCCTGTAAAACCCGTAAATCTTTGACATTGACCGCGAGTCCCCCTTACTGCTGCTTACATGTAATACTGCTCTGTCAAAGCACAAGCTGTGACTTGCACATTAAAATGCGAAAAATATATATTAATACAAATTCAGTCTAAATTGTTCTGAAAAAAATTAAACTGCTGTATTATTTACCGCTTCGGTCTCAATATCCAAGTGTTATTAAAAAAAAAAGGAATCGCAACAATTATCGAATGAGTTTCCAGAAGCTATCGAACTTCTGTGCTTTCGCTTCTCAACCATTTAAAAAGGAAACTATACTTTCGTCGCTTTGTCGATTTTATTTMGCGTGCGAAAACAACTGATGGACGATATGTAAGGTTAGTAATGGTTTCTAAGGGAAACTTGCAAAACAATTCGAACTTGCAAAACGATGGTGCATTCAGAATTAGTAAAATTTTGGACACCTTCAAGCAATCTGCAATAGATGCATGACATTTAAAATCGTGCAGCATTTTGTAGGATTGAATTGTCTTCTCTAGACGATGCTATTTACAAGAAATGTAGTTCTCTTGTATACAAATGCTAAGATATTGTATTGCTTGTTAAATGTTATTCTGTCTCTTCGACAAATAAGTGAAAAAAATCAAGGGTTTTCGCTTAATATTACTTGAACTGTCAAACTGTCAAACGGTTTTCTCGATCTTTACTGAAAATATCCAGAAAATTGTAGTCTTGTTTCTAAAAATATAATAGTCAGAAAAAGTAAAATTAATAAATCTTCCCGTATTCCGTTGTTGATTTCTTAGGGTATATAAATGGACTTTTTCCGCCGCTTGATTCCACACTTTTAACATATTGTACAACATACAAGACTTAACAGAAATTCAAAGTATATAACATTACTTGAACATAAAAAAAGAAATACCCGAATCAGTTTAGCTTTACGGTCAACATTTAGGACTTCCCTTTGGTTGCTAAGCAACCATGGCAACATTACAGGACTCTTATCACTCAGTCGTTCGGATTGTGTTCAACCAAAGTACACAGTTGTATAGTAATGATCTTTTTATAGGTAAATATTTTTTCTTGTGTGGATTTAAGCCGTCTTTAACGCGCAAAAAACAAAAACCATGGTAGTTTACGAAGGTCTCTACTCAAATATATATTCTCTAAGCGTGGTTAGTTAACCGATGATGCTCAAACACATTTGATATTTCACAGTTTAATCGTATCTTGTTAATGATGAATGAAAAGTCAGGAAAATAATATTACGATATTTTTTAAACAAATCCGAAAATCGGTTATTTATGATTAGGTTTTATATAATAAGAAAGAGGTTTGCATAACGCAATGCCAGAAGTTTTTTTAAAAATTAGTATCAGGTGAAGCCGATTGTTCTTATGTGCATACCCATGACAAGATGTGCACAAACAAGTTGATATTTCAAACCAATGATTATCAGTCGTCTATTAAACACTAATAAAGAAGGAAAACCAAATATTCAAAAATGGTCTTGAACGACCCCTGCCGTGAGATGTGGAAGGTAAAAGTCGTGTTTCCCCATAAATATTTTAATATTTATTATACATTATACTACAGTATTTTGACAGAGAATTCGGCCACCTAGAAAATACGTCAAAAATGACATACATTTTAAACCACATACGTTAAGGTATCAGGACAGATTGTATAGCACAGATTTCACAATATTTTGCATAAAGGTATACATTTTGTAAAAGTTACATAAATGTAGTTTTCAAGGATATGGTATTTAAAATTGTCTGTTTTTGAACAAAAAAAATATTGGGTTTGAAGTGACAAACTACTGCACTTCATTTGACAGTTTTCAGCATCTCTTTTTTAAGTGATGATTTCAAAGATGATTTGTGTGATTATTTTACAGTATTCATCGCTAGCGTAGGTTTGCATTTTAGACAAGAAGCGGGCTTGTCCCCACGTCTCTATCACCAGCGAAATTTACCGGAAACGGAAGTAATATTTCTGTCCGAGAGGGTATGGAAATCAATTCGTTTCTAAGCAACTGTCACGCATGCTCAAATAACAAGAGACAGGATTTCGACATTCTCCTTTCCTTCTTTCGCACGTAGAGGAGGTAGAAGGAGACTCTGCGCGCAAGGTAGAAAAAAAATCAAATTCCTTTAAAAAAATGGTTTTAAATGATTGTCATTCGATCTTGGATTTTGGTAGGTAGGTAGGTAGGTAGGTAGGTAGGTAGGTAGGTAGGTAGGTAGGTAGGTAGGTAGGTAGGTAGGTAGGTAGGTAGGTAGGTANAGGTAGGTAGGTAGGTAGGTAGGTAGGTAGGTAGGTAGGTAGGTAGGTAGGTAGGTAGGTAGGTAGGTAGGTAGGTAGGTAGGTAGGTAGGTAGGTGTGTGTGTGTGTGTAGCAACACTGGTGCTTATTAACTAAAGCGTCGCACAAGTCAGATCTTGAACATCATACATTATTAAACAATATTTTTCACTTCAATTTACTTCGCAAAATGATTCCATAAATTTATATCAAAAACGTTACTCACTCAATTATTTCGGTTACTAAATGAAGGAATTTAGCTTTGTTTTCAATAGTTTCCCTACGTTCTTCTAAATTTTGCCCTCTCTTGTTCCATTAATGCGATATATCTCCCGAAAACTCAAGCGCATTGCCTATTCAAAATATTCGCAATTAAATAATAAAGATAATTAGTATTTTTACACAAGTGTATATAAAAAAAACCGGAGCACTTATAGGTTACAATTTACGTCTTATGCTGCTATATTCACCGACAGGTAGATATAACGCGCGCACACGCATGCTCGTTTTTCGATTTGTGCCGCTTTCAGAGATGAATAACATTTGAAAAATGTAGCAAAACTCTCTCAAAATTCACTTTTGTTAAAAATACAACAGACTCGCGTCTCGGTAAGTATTTTCCGATATTCACGGCTCTCAGCTGGCAACACTTAATATGTTGTTGAACGGTAAGAACAATTAATTGACTAAAGGGTAAATGTTTGTCATGAAGCCAGAGACATTATGCCAACTTTATAAGAAGTAAATAAGTTAGTTTCAAAGAGTTTTCAGTTTGTATGGTTTAGTTGAACATGTTAAGATGGAAAAAATGTTTCGTCATTTTCCACTTTTCCACGCAGTCATGTAAAAGAAAAAATTATCTGTAAAGCACAAAATCAAATGTAAGTATATTAAATTATTCTTCAAATAACTATTTCATTTAAACGAAAAGGAAGGGAAAACAACCACTTTTGGCAGCAGTGACATATTTTCGTCTAAAACATACTTTGGAATATTTTACACGAAAAACAATATATCGTCTAAGCTTGTAATTTTATCAGTACCCTGAAACAACCTCTGGGCTGATCTAAGTCAGAGCAACCCTAACTCACAGATAGAACCCTGGAACAACCTCTGGGCTGATCTAAGTCAGAGCAACCCTAACTCACAGAGCGTAGGTTTTATGAGGGAGGAAAATCCGAGATTAGAGAAAAACCGTGGAAAAAATGAGGTACGCCCAGAAGTAAATTCAATATCGGTTATGCCACAATTGATTCCCAGAAACTTGAAATAGAATTGTAAGAAAACTAAAGAACAAAATATTTTAAATTGGGGAAAACACAGCAAAAGAAATTGAAATCTGGATCATTTTTACATTTCTTGGACACTTTGAAGTTCAAAACTTTGTTATTTAAAACTTTGAAGTTCCAAAACTTTCTATCCAAAGCTCTGTTTTGATCAAAGGATATTACAGACAATTGAGAATTTTTAAGAGTTTAAGGCTTTCACTTTAATCGTAAGCCTAAAAAAGTCAATTATTATGCAAAAGTATGAAGTCAAGTATTTTTAAGGTATAGGTGTAGAGATGCAAATGAAGATACGAAAGTTTCACATCATACTCCAATGGGTATTGAGTCGGGTTCTTAGCAATGTTTCAACTGATATTAAGACTCATACTATACACCTGAACATATACGATGTACCGATTCGTTGTAGAGCCTAAAAATTATTGAGTTTGAGAAATTTGTATAGAAATTGTGGATCTTTTCACTGCTTATTATTTTATTGTTCTAGAATATTCATGAATAAAATACCCAGAGCAACGGAGTAAAATACCATGTATTATTAAATATCAACGAATGTTTCTAGAAAAGTTTGGTTTTGTATCGATTTCCAGACTCGAAAATTGAGGAATATTGACATTTACGTTTGTTTCGATCTTTTTACATTTATATTTTACATTTATTATCTTACGAAAAGTACTAAGACTACGAGGGTTGTCCAATACTGTCGAACTGATACGGATCGTCAGTGTGGTTCACGATCCGTACGGTTCGTGAAAGTCATTGATATGCATAAAACATGCATATCATTAGGTGTGTGCACTTAACCTTTCACGGTAACCCTGTGTACCTGTGTAAGGATTTGATGGTGCGGAATTTGACTTGATATTCGAGCGATATCCAGAAGTTAGTGCTATTGCTTCAGAAACAAGAAAACAGCAGACCGGGAATCCCCGTCGAGGAGCCAACCAAGTAACCAGCGCAAGCCACGGTGGTGTCCACAAAAGCCGACATCATAGTATAGGATAGGGACTTTATACAGGACTCATGTTTTCTTTTCTTTTCTTTCATTTACATATTATAATTGGTTACGGTTTATATGTTTAAAGAACTTTGATGATTTAGGTATTTTTGTAAATTGTTACCAATTTAGGGGAGCCATGTAGCTGTTTCCATAGTAATCAGCGTATTYAGCAATTATTTGATTGACAAGAGATTAACTTAATCCCTTAGCGTTCTACCTTTTTAATTCAGTATAGTGTAACACTCGTTTGAAGTAAGACGAACTTTCGGGATTAATATCTTTATGTAATTGTTTTRACTGACCCGCCAACGTTGGTAAGTCCTCAACCTTATTGTATTTCTTTTAATCTGTAGCACAACTGATTACTTTGTTGTGTATTTCACCTTGTGAATCATTTTCCCATAAGTAACAACAATTGTAAACAGAGCAATAGGCTAACTATAGATAATCCTTATTTTAGTTGACCAGATCATTACCAGATTCAATAGTGCAAGAATAAAAAGGATTTGCGTACTCAACTATGGCAGTGGTTTCTTTTTGATACGATATTATTGAGAAATCCCGTACAATAGCAATTGATATCCCATCGAGACCAGCTGCTTTATTAGCCTTGATTTTCTTTTAAGAAAAGTCTTAAAAGACTTATAATAACATTGCCAATCTCCAGTTCCAATAAGGAGCAGGTGGGTGCTGTAACTGCTGTAAACCTAAACGTTTAGCAAGTACAACTACACTATGCTTAAAATATTCCCCATTCAATAGGTTTTTAAACAAAAACTAAAACAACCACATTAAAAGTAGAAAAAATCATAAGGATTTGATGGTGCGGAATTTGACTTGATATTCGAGCGTGGTTTTTTTTAATCCAAATGCTTTTGATAAAAGCGTAATTCCTATAGGTGTTAATTGTGATTTTGACATGATTTTCGAGCGTGGTTCATTAAGGTCCATTGGCTTTTGATAACAGCTTCATTCTTTTGGTATTTTCTTGTGATTTTGACGTGTTTTTGAGCGTGGTTTATTACGATGTTAGCTTTCGATAACCGCGAAATTCCGTTAGAAGTTTAATAGGATTTTTACGTTATTTTCGAGCGTGGTTTATTACTATGCATTGGCTCTGGGCTTTTGATAAGATCATAATTCCTAGCTATATGATTTGATTGTGATTATGACGTGATTTTTGAGCTGGCTTTAAGAGGCAATGTCCACAAGAATCGAACAAACGGTGGCAAGGGTCAAAAAATCAAATTCGCTCTTCTTTTGAAGTTAGATAGGCCATTATTAGGTATGAATTACTGGGTAGTTGGTTTTCGAAAATATTATTTTATTTCCGAGAAAACGGCCACAGAAGAGGTTCGACCGAAGCCCAAGCAAGAGACGCTCAAGAGGTGAGAAAATGGACATACTTTGAACAGAGCGCACGTAAAAAATATACCATCTATGAGAATTTTTAAACTTTCTTCTTAATGTATCACCCTTTTTCGTTCATTGGACTGGATTTCACACTTATTGGGAAAGGGACGAATTTTTGGCGAGAAAAAATATGAGGTCTGTGTTTACATATGCTAGTTAGTTGCCTCAAAAGAAAAAAAGATTTAACCATGGGCAAGTTCTCTGATTGAAATAATACTTATGCTGCAAGTTGAGGAAGAATAGATCTCTTCAAAACTATAAAGATTGATTTGGGGAATTAAATTCTGACTGCATAGAAACATGTTGAATTTGGTTGAAATACATACGAAAATCACGCTTCCCGAATCAACCCAGGACTAAGGATTTTCGTAAAGATTGCCATGAAATTTACCCTGAAAATTAAGAAATTATTGTTCGTGCCGTTGTTTGAAAGTTCAGTGTGGTTTGGTAAATTTAAGCTCCATTAGAAGGGTTTTGGGATTGTCGGTATATGAGCAAAAAACGCTATCTTTGGTGATTGCGTGACCAAGGTTCCACTTTACGTTTAGAAGTTTGATTACTGTAGCATTCACGCTAAAAATTACGATAGAAACGTTCTTTAAATAGCTTATAATCTCATTTTTCCCAAATAAGATTTGGGTCGATGAAAAAGCCGAGAGAAAAACCGTAGCTAATTGTGATGTTTAGAAGTTAACCAGAAATGTTTCCTGGTTAAAAATTATGTGACATTGATTCACTGCCATGTTTAATTCATTTGTGAATGATTCCTTCATTTAACTCGAGTAGGATATTTACATAGTTCCTCCATCTATCAAAATGTTTTTTATACTATATTTACAACTAGAAATGTTCTTTAAAAGCCAAATTAGAGCTGAATTTTTTGACAAAGGCACCCCTTGGGCTGGTCCCACTGGCCGTTTTTCTCGATTTCATTTGACCACTTTTTTCAAAATTTTAAGGTCAATGTATGGCTTTTTTCGTCGATATAAAAATTTAAACAAAAATGACCGCTCGCCAACATGATTGGCTTCATAGCTCAGTTGGTAGAGCATCGCACCGGAATCGCGGAGGTCATGGGTTCGATTCCCGTTGAAGCTTGAAATCACTTTTTCAAGTCTTTCTTTACAGCGTTCGCTTAGATCGCTCATTCACTGTGATGATCAACACATCTATCATTATTTCACCACAGTTCTGCCCATTCAATTTCCATATAAAAATTTCTAAGATGTCGAGTTCAAATAGCAATAAAATGCCATGTATTATTTATTTAGATTTCATCTTGACACCTGCAATCTGCTTACTTGTTTTGTTACCCGGAAACATCTCCCCGTTATCTACCTTGCCTATTCCCACTTTCGCAATTTGATACTACTTTGCGAATTCACTTCCTCTTCTCTGTACCAACTTTAATTTTGCCATCGAGTAACGTAGTATGAAAATCTCTTGCATGTTTGTTTTTAAACATCATGGTTTTAATGTGTACGACAAACAACTCAACAACATTTGCAATCAGTTGCTCTAAAAATATGTAGATGATGGCTAGTGAACACTAGCGTGGACTGCGTCGGTGTTTCTAATGAAACGTTAACAGTTATCGTAGATTTGTAAGCTTTACACCGTAATGAAAATAGAAACTGACGTTTCGGACGTTAGTCCTTCGTCGGATTCACTCCGACGAAGGACTAACGTCCGAAACGTCAGTTTCTATTTTCATTACAGTGTAAAGCTTACGAATCTACGATAACTGCTCTAAAAATAATTGACCTTGGGTCAAGTAATGATTAGGCGGCGTGATTTATGCATATATAAACTAACTGTTGAAACCACATTTTTATCGACCCAAAACTTATTCGACTAAAATAAGATTATAAGCTATTTAAAGAACTTTTCTATCGTAATTTTTAGCGTGAATGTTACCGTAATCAAACTTCTAAAGTAAAGAGGAACTTCGTCACGCAATCACCAAAGATCGCGTTTTTTGCTCACATACCGACAATCCCAAAACCCTTCTAATGGAGCTTAAATTTACCAAACCACACTGAACTTTCAAACAACGGCACGAACAATAATTTCTTAATTTTCAGGGTAAATTTCATGGCAATCTTTACGAAAATCCTTAGTCCTGGGTTGATTCGGGAAGCGTGATTTTCGTATCGGTATTTCAACCAAATTCAACATGTTTCTATGCAGTCAGAATTTAATTCCCCAAATCAATCTTTAAAGTTTTGAAGAAATCTATTCTTTATCAACTTGCAGCATAAATATTATTTCAATCAGAGAACTTGCCCATAATTAAATCTTTTTTTCTTTTGAGGCAACTAATTAGCATATGTAAACAAAGGCCTCCTATTTTCCCTCGCCAAAAATTCGTCCCTTTCCCAATAAGCTTGAAATCAAGTCCAATGAACGAAAAAGGGCGATACATTAAGAAGAAAGTTCAAAAATTGTCATAGATGGTTTATTTTTTATAAAATAATATTTTTGAAAACCAACTACCCAGGGATTCATATCTAATAATGGCCTATAGTAACTTCAAAAGAAGAGCGAATTTGATTTTTTGACACTTGCCACCATTTGTTCGATTTTTGTGGACATTGCCTCTTAACCTCTGAAATGAATTTTACCTAATCTGCAAAAACAAATACTCGATAGTTGACTCGAATAAGTTGGACGTGTCAGGAAATAAGTTGCACGTGACACCAATGGTGAAAATAAACAAGTGCACGTGATCAGAACGTGAAAAACGCTGGTGGTTTGATATTTTGAACCAATCACAAACAACAAAGCGGGAGCAAATATTTTGCATGAATTTTCAGTACAAAAGTTTTCAAATGGAGCTCGAAGCATGCAATAGAGGTTTTCCAGTGTTTCTGCAGAGAAATTACAGACTTCAAGGGCGGATCCAAGGGGGTCTGAAGCCCCCCCTGCAGCAGAAAAAAACGATGCTTTTTTATATTGTTTTCCGTTGTGCTGACGGAAGAAACTCAATAACCCCCCCCCCCTAAACTCAATTAGC